AACTTTATTAATCGATTTAGTTATTGTATTGATCTATTAGCTATTTTATTGATCGATTCAGTTGTTGTATTGATCAATTAAGTAATTTTATTGATCGATTCAGTTACTGTAATGATCGATTTAGCTATTTCATTCATCGATTCAGCTATTGCATTGGTCTATTCAGTATTGAATTCGTCGATTTAGCTATTCCATTAATCGATTCAGTTATTGCATTGAAAAATTGAGTTATTGTATTAATCTAGTTAGTTATTGCATTGATCTATCTATTTTTAGTTAGCGCAGTGATCGATTCAGTTATCGTTGTCATCAGGAGTTACTGTCACGTTTAACACAGTGCGTTTGATCATTGAATTCAGGTTGGATCTAACTTAATACCTTCAATCATCAGCTGTACCGGTCTAATGTATAAACTGCCATCTGCCTCATTTCACAAGAATATCACAAAGTATTCGTTACGATTTACAATTTATTTTACCTTTTACAGATCTAGACAAACTTTTTGGATACACATTATATTTATGTCCACAGTTTTAAGAAACTAACTTCAAAACGGTATTGAAGATAAAAATCGCTAAATAGGGTTGCGTGATTTAATAATAGAAGAGTTCAAGGACCGACAAACTTTCATAAAAACCTGCCATTGATAAAATGTCGATTATAGATTTAGAAGTGAGACAGATAGAAGGACAGACATTGTATTGAGGGGTTTGGTGAATGAAACTGGTGGGGTTCAGTAACTCCACAAAGGTTAAGAACCGCTGAAATATATATATATATATATATATATATATATATATATATATATATATATATATATATATATATATATATATATATATATATACATATTTATATATATATATATATATATATATATATAATAAATATATATATATATACATATATATATAATAAATATATATATGTATGTATATATATATATATATATATATATATATATATATATATATATATATATATATATATATATAGCCTATATATATATATATAGCCTATATATATATATATATATATATATATATATATATATATATATATATATATATATATTATATGTATATATATATATGTATATATATATATATATATATATATATATATATATATATATATATATATATATATATATATATATATATATATATGTGTGTGTGTGTGTGTGTATGAGGGTAAATGTTTGAAAGGCGTCAAGACGTCAGCTAGGCGCACCGGCAAAAGTTTAGATAACTCTGCTTAGAGTAACTCAAAGTTGATACAATTTTGCCGCCTATGGTGTGAAATAAAGAAAATGTATAAGTCCTGTAACACCACAAGACGTCATATTATGAGATGTTTTGTAATGTTATGATATGTCAAGTTATGTAATCAAAGTGTCATGAATTGTCATTTCATGTTTAGAGTTGTTTTGTAATGTGGTGATGTGTCCTGTTATATAATCAAAGGTCATTACATGTCAAGAATTGTCATGTCATGTTATGGGATGTCATGTCATCAGATGACACGTGACGGGTGTCGGGCGGTACCGTGTGATACCTGTGTGGTAGCGCCACTGTAGGACACACAGCCTGCAGTTCAAGTCCTGGGGTAGCTGCACCTGCACGTCAAAGGTCTTCGCCACCCCGGGGGTTAGTTGGTACTTGGTGCCCGACCCGTCCGCCATCTGCACGGGGTAAAGGTCAAGGCAAGCCTGGGTCGTCTTGACCGTGGCACTGTTGGTGGGGCAAAGCTTGAACTCAAAATACCCTGCAATCAAATTAATTAATTAATTAATTAGTGGTAGTTCAAATTCAAAAAGATAAATAACCAAAGGAATATGGACATTGTACTGACAGATCAAATTTGTTTACATCCTATTTGTCGGGTATTATTTGATTATTATTCTTATCCCGGATATATGACGCTCGATAGCTGGGGACAGCAACCTAAATAGATTAGAAACTCCAAAAGTAAACAACTGCTGCCTTGCAGTTAGATCTAGTACGTGGGCAGTAAAAGGCTATGGAAACATCCAGTAAAAAAAGGTAGGCTGAAGTCAGGGTCAACGGGCTAAATAGCGCTCAAGAAGTTGACATGTAATATTAAATTTGTGTTGTATGAAATCCCCTATAGTATTATAATTAATAACGAAGAAGAATACGAATCATTGTAATACTTAGTAATAAAAATAGTTATACCAACGCTACTAATATTAAACTTTATAGTTAATTAGGCTCAGTGGCGTAGCGAGGTCGGGTGTCACCCAGTGCGACACTTAATGGTGTCACCCCCCCCCCCCCCCCGAGGCGTAGCGACCCTTCCCGGGGACAAACTTTCAAATTTTCAATTTGCACCCCCCCCCCTCAAATTTTCGATTTTGCACCCCCCCCCCAAACTTTCGATTTGCACCCCCCTCAAGTTTTCGATTTGCACTCCCCCCACCCCTCAAACTTTCAATTTGCACCCCCTCAAGTATTTCTCTATATTTTTTGTGCCTTGGTGCCACCCCCCTAAATGGTGTCACCCGGTGCGGTCCGCACCCCCTACCCCGCCCCCCCTCGCTACGCCCTTGATTAGGCTTAGTGTAAAACCTGGAGCCATAACATTGAGGACGGCACATGAAAGACATGGTAATTATTGGGACTGTTAAAAAAGTAACTCGTCTGTAAAAATTTTTTTTTTACAAATTCTACAAGCACTCTCTTTATCTAACACTCTCTTGAGAGAATAAAGCCAGTTATTTTTATTGAGGTCTACATATATCCATAGGTCTAAAATTACAGAGCGATCTATAGTAAATCTATACTGTTAAAATCTCTAAAGTGCTCTGAGTAATATTAACTTGATATATATATATATATATATATATATATATATATATATATATATATATATATATATATATATATATATATATATATATATATATATATATATATATATATATATATATTAGACAGTCAAAGAAAAAGTCTAAACCTTTGTGATTGGCTGTTATGTTCACTCGAAATGTTGCTGTCTGCCCTTGATGGTATGTTCGTGTAATGATCCCTGTGGCGTATTTCCCGCCTTCCTCGTTGTCTCGCACCCCATCGTAGGGGTCGCCACATACGCCACACTTGTAGCCTTGCTCTACTTGATGCTAGACTGACATACACTTGACATTATACATACAGTTATATATATATATATATATATATATATATATATATATATATATATATATATATATATATATATATATATATATATATATATATATATATATATATAGTAGAGCTGATAAAAGGATAAAAGAACTTAGGTATGGCCCACAAAGGGGTGGCCCACAAATAACGTCACAGCTTGTTTGGCCAACCTTCTTACTCCATCGTCATACATCTGCGCAATAGGTCAGACCCCCTTCAAAGCATCTCCAGAATTAGATACTTTTTTTTATTACACTTTACAGACTGTCTTTAAAAATGCGACTGAACTTCTAAAATGTATTGTTTAAAACATTTTATTTCTATTAATTGTGCAAATGTGTGAAATCATCCAGAATCGTCTCAAACTTTGACACTCATCCCCGTCTCTCCCTCAGGAGTGTGATTTCATTACTTGGAGCAGAGTGTCTTCCAGGCATCTCTTCGGAAAAAGTCTACCGCTTCCCCCCCCCCCCCGAACGAAATGAAATTGATATAGAAAAGGTATACTTTTAACAGTGACCGCCCCCCCCCCCTCGAAGAAAGTCTACCGCCCCTCTTCCCCCCCCCCCCGAAAATTTCAAGTCCCCCCCCCCCCGGAAAAAAAGTATGGAGTGTTTCTTTTAGATATTCCCTTCGATGAGGGGGTACATCCACCGTCTACCTCCCCCCTGGGAACCTAATCGAATTTATATAGAAAATACATACTTTTATCAGCGCCCCCCCCCCCCCCACCTTCCCCCGGAAAATTTATTTAGTCCGCCCGTTCCCCTGAATGACCTATATGAGGTGCACAAGGTTTATGCTTTATCTCAAATTAAGTCGCAACCTTAAGTTTAGTTTAAAGACAGGATAACCTTTACTACTATATGATAGTCTCCCTTAAGACAAAGAAAGTCTCATAGTGGTTATTAAACATGTGCTTGTGAAGATTCCCTTTAAGGAATACATAATCTCATACGCATCACGTATAAAAAAAATAAATAAAATAAAAAATGATATTTTTAAACAATTTCTCGAGATCCGGTTAAAATATTTCTCAAAATTCAGTGTATATGTATGAAAAAAAAAATTGTAAGAACATTTTTATTTGGAAAAAGATTTGAAGGACATAATTAAGTGATTACATTCATTCTCAATCTAATGATTTAGCACACTTAGAGTGCATACATATAGAATGTTCTATGCTAGAGCATTTAACAGCCGGCTATGCACTACTGAACAATATGCATTGGCAAACGGAATTTTTTACTGTCATTCAAACTTCAAGAATTGTACGGGGTTAAGATGCGTAGGTAGGCATTAGGAACACAGAAGCACCCTGTCATAATATAGACACACACGCAGACACACAGAGACACCTACCGACACACATTTGTGTATTCAATATAAGGAATTATCAATTTTAAGAGCGTAAAATGTTTATAGACTGCTGACCCGATAGTTTCGAGTTCGAATCCGGGTTCAATTAAGTACGACGTCCCTGTTTCCACCCAGCTCTGATGGGTACCTAACTCACGTTTGGGAAAGTAAAGGCAGCTGGGCAAAGTGCTGACTACATTATCCTTGTATATGCCGAGGTCAAGAAACATATGAACTCCACTTCATCTACCAAATGGATCGTTAAGTCTAAAGAGGAATCTTTACTTTTAAAATGTTTGTAGAGAAGACACATTTTGAAATAGTAGACCGAAAGTGACACACTCACTGTTGACAATAGCTGTAACTAAACGCGAAACAACATTTGTAAGTAAACGTTTTACTTAATTATATAAATAAAGATTTTAGGTGAAGTGTGTGGATGAAGTAGAGTTATCCTGTTTGTGTACACTAAAATGATTCAGGTACCCACCAGAGAACCCGGGATCCCAACGTAAGACTTAGTAGTCATTCACCGTCCCATAATGAGATTTTATTAGACTAGTACATGTTAAATTTAAAACATGTTACTACTATAAGGGCTCTCGCGATTGTAATTCACAGTATCCAACTTTCGTTCCTTTTAAAAAAATAAAATAAACTGCACGAAAGCCTCGAGTTCGGATTGCTAGCTAGAATCGTGGGACATCCCTCAGTCCATACGCTCAGTTAGGGAAAGTAAAGGTAGCTGGGCATATAACTAACCACAACATCCTTGTATGTGATGAATTCTCATACACGGATTAACCATACGTAATCAGCCTATTGACCGCCATGTCTGAAAAGATTACAAGATTAATATTTAGGACATTTAACGGACGGCGTGATTTAGCGGTAGAGCGCTAGACTGCTATCACGAAAGTCTCGAGTTCAAATCCGGGTTCAAGTCAGTAGAACGTCCCTGTTACCAGTCAGCTCTGATGGGTACCTAACTCACGTTAGGGAAAGTAAAGTCGACTGGGCAGTCTGATCACCATAACCTATAATAAGCACACAGATACACACTTATATACAATATAACGAATTAACAATTTTAAGAATCCGGGTTCAAGTTAGTGGAACGTTCCTGAGTCCACCCAACTATGATGGGTATCTAACTCACGTTAGGGAAAGTAAAGGCGGCTGGTCGTTGTACTGACCCAGGGGCGTAGCGAGGGGGGGGGGGGGGGCGGGGGGTGCGGACCGCACCGGGTGACACCATTTCGGGGGGTGACACCAAGGCAAAAAATAGCAAAATATATAGAGAAAAACTCGAGGGGGGGGTGCAAATCGAAAGTTTGAGGGGGGGGGTGCAAAACGAAAACTTGAGGGGGGGGGGGGTGCAAATCGAAAGTTTGAGGGGGGGGGGGTTGCAAATCGAAAATTTGAAAGTTTGTCCCTGGGAAGGGTTTCTATGCCTCTGGGGAGGTGACACCATTAAGTGCCGCACCGGGTGACACCCGACCTCGCTACGCCACTGTACTGACCACATTATCCCTTTATATACCGAGGTCAAGAAACCTATGAACTCTACTTCATCTGCCCAATGGATCTTTAGTCTAAAGAGGAATCTTTACTTTTAAAATGTTTGTAGATAAGACACGATTTTGAAATAGTAGACAGATACATTTTACTTCATCTGCCCCGTGTGTCTTGGGCACGAACGGGAATACAAACTAGTACATTTAAACAACAGAATCGTACAGCAAATCCTCCACAGAAGAGCTCGTTGTCCTGGTAATTGACGGGCGTCGGGTAGCCTAGTCTCCACATCGAGCTGCGGCTAGGGGGGTCAGCTAGTAGCCCGTGACTGGAGACAGGGTGTGTCCAGAACAAGGTACTACACACGGACAGGAGCACGGCACCAGTAGACCACAGCATGGTGCGTCTTCGACTGCTGGAAAGGAAATGATCGATTTGAGGATTTTTAAAGAAAATTAAGAACATGTAAAGAAAATCAATAAGACTAATTCGTACATTGTGGCGAATCTATGGGTGTGGTAGGTGGGGTTCACTCCCGGTGTCTTTCAGACTTTTGTATCGGGGGGGGGGGGGGGTCACTTCAAACTTTCAGGGGGGTGGAGGGGAAATGATACAAGTTTTTAAAGTATATTGTCTATTCTATTCTATATACATTCTATTTCGTTGCCCCCCACCCCACTCCCGAAGATATGCCTGAAAGAGACGCTGGTTCTCACACGGTGGCTCTATAACATAGTCACGTGGTACTTTTATACAATATTTTATCATAAAGATTATATATATATATATATATATATATATATATATATATATATATATATATATATATATATATATATATATATATATATATATATACATATATATATATATATATATATATATATATATATATATATATATATATATATATATATATATATATATATATATATATATATATATATATATATATATATAATTATGAGTGTGTGTGTGTGTTTGTGTGTGTGTCGGCCTTCATAGGTCTATAATTTAAATATACACCGCATACGCGTACATGTATGTGTATAAGATTAAATCACTGTTAACTTAATAGTAACAATGTTTATCTATAGTTTATTAATAATACAGTTGGAAGTAGCACTGTTTTCTCTTCAGTTAACCCGTTTACGTCATGGTGTCACCCCACACCCTTGTAATAATTAATACTTAAAAGATTATTTAACTGTAATTAATCATTAATGGAACAGACACAAAGCATTTTTCTTCTGTAAATTTTGCAATTTTTTTGCCATGGTGTCACCCCCCCCCCCCTAAATGGTGTCACCGGTGCGGTCCGCACACCCGCCCCGCCAACGCTACGCCTCTGATTTTGCCTACCCTGGCCTATAGAAAATCACGGGAACTCGTTAAAAATCATTCTAGACAATGAAACCTATGTGTTGACAAAAAAAAATATAATAAAATTGTATCTAATATATAAAGCTCAGTTCTGTATGTAACGCATTTGTATATCGTTGGAATTGTACGAATTTAAAAGTTAGAAAATTATCGTGCGCATTTGTCTAAATTTATGAGCTAAAAAATTACCATTGAAAGTGTTGGGAAATAATTTTCATTTTTCAAATTACAGTAATAATTGTCGGCGTGTTCATGAAACACAAGTTTTAAAAAAAATATCATCTTTTACAAAAATTCTAATTATGTCTTTATTTAGTCCTATAGCACTTACTTCCCTTTGATAAATTAGGAAAAACGCAATTACTTCCCTTTATAAAATCATTGCATTAGTCGAAAATAATTTACTTTTTAATTACTTTGTTTTGGTGTTGGGAAAAAAAAATAATTACATAATTAGCGGGGATTGATCAAGTGCAAATGTTGTAGGTATTTTACGGATAAGCTTGGAGTATTAAAATTGTTTATTAAATTGAAACAGGCGCGTTCGTTTAAGTGAGTGCAAAAGACTGTGAATAACTTGGGGTACTATAGTCGTTCATTAAGCTAAAACAGGTGATTCCGCCCCGGGCGTTTATGTTCGCGTTAGTGTTTTCTTTGTGTTTAGGTGGGTTTGCGTTAGTGGTTGCGTTTTGATTTGGTTCGTTTTTGTTCTTTTTTTTTTCGTTTTTGTTTGTGTTTTTTTTGTTTGGTTTGTATTTGTGTTTTTGGTTGGTTTTGCGTTTGGATTTGGTTTGTTTTCGTTTGCTTTTTTCGTTGATTTTTTTTGTTGGTATTGGTGTTTGTGGTTGGGTTTGTTGTTAGGTTTTTGTTTTCGTTTGCTTTTTTGTTTGTTTTTTCTTTGTGTTTGTATTGGTGTTTGTGGTTGTGGTTGGGTTTGTTGTTAGGTTTTTGTTTTCGTTTGTATTTGTAATTGTGTTAGCGTTATGTTTGCGTTTTGTTGTTTTGGTTGGTTGTGGTTTGGGTGGGCAATGCCGGGTTTATGATGATTACTAAACACACAGGTAATGGTCTTTAACAGAAAGGTTTTTCACAGAAGCCAGAGCAGGGCCTGGCCGGGACGGCTAGTCTAATATATAAAGCTCAGATCTGTATGTAATGCATTTGTATGTCGTTGGAATTGTACGAATTTAAGTGTTAGAAAATTAGCGTGCGCATTTGTCTAAATTTATGAGCTAAAAAATTACTATTGAAAGTGTTGGGAAATAATTTTCATTTTTCAAATTACAGTAATAATTGTCGGCGTGTTCATTAAACACAAGTTTTAAAAAAAATATCATCTTTTACAAAAATTCTAATTATGTCTTTATTTAGTCCTATAGCACTTACTTCCCTTTGATAAATTAGGAAAAACACAATTACTTCCCTTTATAAAACCATTGCATTCCGTGAAAATAATTTACTTTTTAATTACTTTGTTTTGGTGTTGGGAAAAAAATAATTACATAATTAGCGGGGATTGATCAAGTGCAAATGTTGTAGGTATTTTACGGATAAGCTTGGAGTATTAAAATTGTTTATTAAATTGAAACAGGCGCGTTCGTTTAAGTGAGTGCAAAAGACTATGAATAAGTTGGGGTACTATAGTCGTTTATTAAGCTAAAACAGGTGATTCCGCCCCGGGCGTTTATGTTCGCGTTAGTGTTTTCTTTGTGTTTAGGTGGGTTTGCGTTAGTGGTTGCGTTTTAATTTGGTTCGTTTTTGTTCTTTCTTTTTTCGTTTTTGTTTGTGTTTTTTTTTGTTTGGGTTTGTATTTGTGTTTTTGGTTGGTTTTCCGTTTGGATTTGGTTTTTTTTCGTTTGCTTTTTTCGTTGATTTTTTTTTTTGTTGGTATTGGTGTTTGTGGTTGGGTTTGTTGTTAGGTTTTTGTTTTCGTTTGCTTTTTTGTTTGTTTTTTCTTTGTGTTTGTATTGGTGTTTGTGGGTGTGGTTGTGTTTGTTGTTAAGTTTTTGTTTTCGTTTGTATTTGTAATTGTGTTAGCGTTATGTTTGCGTTTTGTTGTTTTGGTTTTGGTTGGTTGTGGTTTGGGTGGGCAATGCCGGGTTTATGATGATTACTAAACACACAGGTAATGGTCTTTAACAGAAAGGTTTTTCACAGAAGCCAGAGCAGGGCCTGGCCGGGACGGCTAGTATAGTATATACATTTATACGCGTATAATCTGTGATAATCCACTCACCTAAAACTGAATCTGGAACAGGAAATACCACCTTCAGTGAACACATCCCATAATCACAGAGCTGCTGTCCATTTTGTGTGTCTACCTGTTCATTGGGTGCCTGAATTCAGTCTTCTGGTTAAGTTCAGCCAAGTGTAACCCCTTCGCCCCTTCCCTCCCCCCCCCCCACACACACCTCCACACGAAATTCAAGGGCTGGATTAAAATCGTAACGGAGATACCTCTATCCTAACTTAACCACTGTAGGCCTGTATTTTTTTATCGTTGATCTTTGTCTAAGAATTAATCTTGTCGCATAATTTTTCAATATTTTTTACAATATACTTTTCAGTTTTATCTGGATTTAATTTATAAAAAGATCTATAAATAGGTTTAATTTCTTTTTATTTTATTTTATAGTACAGGTATAAAAAACTTGATAATCATTTTTCATCTAATTAATGATGTCTGCCTTCTGCTTTTGGAGATTAACGTTTTGCACACATTTAATATGTAGTCAGTGTAATGATCTTTTAAGCTTCTGCACCTATAAATTATTCTGTTTTAGAAGGATTTTTTTACAGTTAGTTTTTTAGTGAAATTTCTAACTTAAACAACGGCTTAACTATCATTACACACCCACACCCACAATATATATATATATATATATATATATATATATATATATATATATATATATATATATATATATATATATATATATATATCATAGATCTACGATAATGCCCGATACACACTTGCCCAAATAGACGTTTGCCGGATCTGAACGTATGCCCTAATTATACTTTGGACCGTTACTGGATTGTGTCACATGCCCCAAAGCCATTAACCCGTCATGCTCGAAGGCCCGTTGCCCGAAAACAAATCAATTAATTTTTAAATTGAGACATAAAAATAAACACCAAAAAATTGAAAACAAAATTCTTGAAAAATAATTATATTACAAAATACATAGTCTCAAAAAAAAATTTAAAAAATTATATATATTCTAAATGTAAAAATATCAAAATATTACAAACATTTTTATATACATCAAAGTGGTAAACATCTTGTTTTAAAATCGACAGAAAAAAAATGAATTTGAACATACATTCCCTGACATGTTAAAATTATTACCTGAAACGTAATGTTGTGTAAATGCTAAGTTAACAGATTTTTAAAAATACCTCGAGGGTACTAATGTAAAATACAATAAGATACGAACTAAATGTATTTTGTATATCGATTGGTACAATCCTTTTAAATTGTTTCTAATCGATCTTTGCAAACTAAACCTTTACTGCAAATGTAGTTCCCTTCAAAGTAGCAGAGCTTCTTTCAGGCACCTCTTCGGGGGTGGGGGAGGGTAGGGGCTCTGCTACCCCCGAAGAACGTCTATCCCCCCGAACGAAATAGAATTTATAATGAAAATATATACCCCCATGTAATATTTAGTTCGCCTCCCCCATCCTCTCTAAAATTTAGGGATGAAGAAAAAAGTCTGAAAGAAACACCGAGCACATTTTATATATACGATGCTATCCTTTCCAAAAGTGAGTTTAGCGTGTAGGGTAATGTAGGCGGTGACCTTAACATTCATTCAGGAAGTTGTAACATATTTATTACACGGTGTCTGAGGCCGTAAACTTAACATTTCAACGGAGTCTTTTGATAAATGTTTTTAGTACCTTGTTTAGCCGTCGTGTTCAGGTAGTTATATCACAAATATTACCTGATGTCGGCGGTGCGGTGTCTCGCAACACTTAACAAAGACGTTTTCGTTTGATTTGCCTTGCTATGCCAATGTGGTGTGGAGAT